CCGGGGCTGGCCATGCACCCGGGGCTGGCACCTGCCGCACGCCCGGGGATGGGGCCAGCCCAGATTGCTCCGCGGGTGCACGTAAAGGGCCCGGCGGGCGCCATGGCGCCCGTGGGCACAGCATTGGGGACCACGGCTCTAGATAGATCCTGTAGGTGTTTGTCTCTGTGGGATTGGAGCAAATTCGGTTGTATTTTAGGGCTTGGCTGTATACAGTAGATTGAGAAATGTGTCTGGGATGGAAGCTAGAGGCATGAAGGTAAGTGTAGCGGTCGGTAGGCTTTCAGTATATGGAAATTTTCCCATCATTTAATTGTTCTGTAGTGTCAAGGAAGTGGATCTCTCGTGTGGCCTGATCCCATCTGAGGTTGATGGCGGGGTGGAAGTTGTTGAAATCCCTGTGAAATTCTTCAAGGGTCTCTTTCCTGTGGGTCCATAAGATGAAGATGTCATCTGTGTAGCGTAAGTAGGGTAAGAGTGTTAGGGGGCAAGAGCTGAGGAGATGTTGTTCAAGGTCAGCCATAAAGACTTTGGCATATTGTGGATTTTTGGTTTTTTGGTTTTGTTTTGCATATAACAAGAAGCAAACAGGGCAAATGCTTGGGGGCCCCATGAAGATGCATTGCTCAAGCTTTGGCCCTGGGCTTCAGCCCCATGCAATGAGGCTTTCTGTCCTGAGCCCCAGTGTGTGTAATGCTGGCCCTGCTTGGCACTCCCCTGTAATTGGGTTGAGACCCTCAAGGGTCTTGGGCCTTGGTTGAAAACCAGCTGTCTATGGGAGACCTCACGGAGCAGGATGAGAAGGGATTGCTTACACTGGGGTTGGCTTGAGAAGGCAAACACTCTTACATTTATAGCAAACCAAAGCAATATTTTTTTAAAACCACAGTGCACTTCTACTTGCAATATATAATATCAATACACGCAGAAGCTCTTAGTGCTGCCGTCGTTGCATTTCCTGTAAGGATCAGAAATGCAAGAACCTGATTTCCAATTAAATGCATGTGCTTAGCGATGATGTTTTGCTGGGGCACTCAAACCAGCAAGTAAGGCACCATTGAGCATTTTCCCTCTTTTATTTGAAATCCTCAACCTCAAGAAGTGGCAAAAAGGCTGATTCTAGACCAGGCACATGGTAAAGGCAAGCAAACGAATGGTTTTGGAGCTGCAGTAATAAGCCCAGTACTCTCTTCATCAGGCTGTCGAAACAATGAAAATAGGCCCACAGCCATAGGCAGCCTAGAATTCAGATTTGTTGGAAGATTATGTGAGTCTCAAAAGCTTGCTTACTTTGACCCCTTCCTTGCTGACTGTCAGGATGCTGGGATGAATTCATTTGATGGACCATTACTTCCGAAGAGGTATAAACATTGCAGTACAGTGAATGTTAAAATTACCTAATACCTATGTTGAGAAAAGGAGTGGCACTGGACTTGGCATGGGGTGGGTAATCTCTCTGAATTGGTCCAAAGGTTACACTTACAAGGTTTTAATTTATCTTCACAATGGCATAAAACACTTGTGGCTAATTATTGTCTGCCTTTTTGCTCTACGTACATGCTCTAGAAGAGTTACCTGGCGTGGCTCAGGTCCTTAACCCAAATCAGTTTTGTTTTTCTTCATTTAAATAATTAATTATAGCCATTCCGGTCCCCATCTCTGGCCCCTTGCAGCCCCTGCTTGTGGTTATTCTGCACTTTAACTGTCCTTCCAACCAGACACCCCCCGTTCCATTTTATGAGAAACAGTCACATTCCCTGCACACCCTGTTGTCCTGGCACAACCAGACCCTGGTCTTGCTTTAAGTTATGATCAGAGGACGCTGCAGACTGAATGTGGTGGTTCTAGCTCTTACCGTTTAGGAGGAGTTGAACAAACAGACTCACTGACAGGTGCATGTTTCTAAAATATACTATAAGATTCAGAGCTGAAGGGCTAGAGTCATCATCATCACTATCATCTGTCTCACTGAGTTTTAGACTAAAAGCTTCAAGCAACTGCACCCTAGGTAGGGCAAATGAGACCACCTAACTCCCCCACCCCCCATTCCTAGTGCCTCTCCCAGCATTCAGTGGGGGAGCTCTCTGCTGTGAAGGGGACTGTGTGCTCCTCCGGCCGAGGGCAAGGAGAGCTGGAGCTGGAGTACTGGTTACAGCAGAGCATGCGCAGGACTCGCGTCGTGCTGGCGCAGGTGCCGATGTTTGAGGAAGGATGAGACAGGAAAATCAGGAAATCAAAGCTTCCAGAGGAATCCGTTGTTAGTGGGAACAGGAATAGCTTGGTTATTGGGGATTCAAAACAGGTGCCTTTGCATTGTCCTCCCTGGGTGCCGGGAGGAGAGAGCCGCAAGAGGGCTGGGATTTACAGAAGGCGCCAGTGGAGGCCCTGTGACCTTTCTTTCCCAAGGGGTCCAAGCTAGTTATTTGCTTGGCAAGGGAGAAAGGGGGCAGCAGCCAGCTCCTCCCCCCGACACACACACGCTCCAGGGGCCGGCGGTCTGTACTGGCACCTGTCACAAAGGCCCGTAGGCACATGTTTCTTGGCAACCGGGGGTATCTCCTTTCTCTGGCTCCCTAATGGATACCTCCCTCTTTCCATGTCCGCCCTTTGATGTTTTCTGTCCGTTTTTTTCCTTCCCCTGTGAGTTGATTGGACCCTTTGTTCCTCAGAGTGGTGACGGGCCAGCCTTCTTCAGTGCAGCTTTAATGAGTTGGGAGGAGGTTGATGCTGCCATTGTATTGCTCAGGTGGGTGGGAGCCTGGTGAATGTTTGCTCCTGGCTGCTTTCCCTATCTCACTGTCTGCTTTGCACCTGGAGTCACCATGGGGGCGGGCAGCCTGCTGTCTGCCTCCTATAAGATCAGAATCCAGCATTAAATAAACAAACCTTACGCAGCAGCAGCAGCAGCCAACAGTCCTGGGGCCAAGACTCTGAATCTAGGATTGTTCTGTCCAAATCAGGACTTCTGTCAGGTACGTGTAGCTGTCAGGCAAGGTACTTAGCCCCCTTGATTATATCATACAAGGTAAGTGGAGGCAGAGGTGGATGTTTCCATTTCCTATGATCGTCAAACCTTTTAGCTAATTGTCAGCACACAGCATCCCCTCTTCACACTCTCCTGACAGTAGCCTGGGTGAGAGCTCAGGTGTTCTCCAGGTTCAGTGTCTAAATTTGAGTAACTTCTCTGTAATTGCAGTGTTGTTCAAAAGTCACCAGTCTGGCTTACTGAAATAGCCACATTTAAAAGAGTTAAAAACATAAAGTAATAGGTTTGTGGTTCTTTTTATTTGGTGTCTGCTTTTTGAGTCGTTAGGATGCAGTGGTGTCACATGTCAAAGCTTTCTTCACAGCCCCAAGGGCTAGAAAGTTAATTTTCCTTGGCGTGAAGGCTGAAATGGGCGCATATTAACTTGACTCCTAGAGCTGGGGCTTTAAGGAAAGCAATAATGATCACGAGACTCCTGACCAAGCCATGCGAGTGGGTAACAATGCTTGCTCCAGGAAAGCATGGATGGCGTCTCTTTGGTGCTGCTAGTTGAAATGATAGCGTGGTTGAACAAAGCAATGACTGTAAATGGAAATCAGGACTGCTTATTTTCATGACTTAGAGACACAGGAAGGAATGGGTTTAAAATCACTGGGATCAGCAGTATTAGGAGGTTTGTTTTTGTCTTGTTGACAGTATTATGGGACTGGCAAGGAGCAGTGCAGTCTGTAAGGCTTTGTCTACACTGCAAGTTTTTGTGGCAGAAAATATTAGCATGAGTCGTGACATCATTAGCGCATTTTATGCCGATTCTTTCTGCGCAAGGGAATTTTTCGCAATAAGAAGCAGTGTAGCCACTTCCGTTTTGCGTCAAAAGCCCCTTTTGCGCAAGATCCTTATTCCAAGACCTACTGTGGGGACAGGTTATCCCACATCTGCCTGTTGTGGGGGTTCTTATTCCCTTCATCTGGAGTAGCTTGCTGTTGGCCGCTGTCCAAGACTGCTCAGTAGACTAGATGGACCTTGGTTCTGACCCAGTCAGGTGATTCTTATGTCTCATTATTTCTCTGCCTTAGAGTGAAAAATCTCTCAAAGCCCAGTAAATCCTTACCAGTTGTATAAGCAGACCACTAATACCTACTGAGTGTGTATTTCACGTGCACTATTGCAGCGTTGTATTTACTGGATCTGACTATTGGATCAGCCAAGTCAGTGGTGAGTGAGCAGAAATACAGATTCTTTTTGTAATGGGCTTTATTCTGCTGCTTCGTATGGCTAACATTTGGCCTGTCCTCTGCGTTATTCCTGTGCACTTCTAGCATGGTCTCCATTCAGCTGTGAAGGGACCGCCCTGGCTGATGACTTGTCATGGCATGATCTCTGCTTTGCTTGCTTTCCCAGCTGCCAGAGAGGACGTGACGAGGTGATGGAGGCTTTGCTGGAGAGAATGCAAAGACAAGGGCATGGCAGGTAAGTAGACCACGATTCACAATGCGCTCTCAGATGCATGCTACTTTGACTTGCTCTGTAGTCAGATAAAGCCTTCATTGCTTATAAGGACCTGCTGTGCTAGGAGCTGTACGGGCTGTTCTGTTTGATAAGGTCTTCAGGATTTGGCAGTGTCTCTGACTCCCGTTGGAGCAGGAGCAGGCCCATGGTGAATTGCTTCTCCAAGTAGTCCCTGGTTATAAGTTTTCGTTGTTTTAATAGCTGGTGTTTTTGTACCATTATCTTTCTGCAAAATCTCCTTCTTACAAAAGCTTTCAGAGGGGGAGCCGAGTTAGTCTGTAACAGGAAAATTACAAAAGCTTTCAGAGGGGGGGGCCGAGTTAGTCTGTAACAGGAAAAACTTACAAAGCAACAAATAGTCTGGTAGCACCTGAAAGGCTAACAAAACACATAGATGGGATCATGAGCTCTGTGGCTCTAGTCCAGCCTGCTTCCATTGCTGGTGCCTTGGCGCTAGTCCAGCCTGCTTCCATTGCTGGTGGAAATACAGCTAGCAGTGCAGGCAGCTACTGGAGGCGGAGCTGGGGTCTCTCCTGGCTCGCACAACTTCAGCAGACCACAGCTAAGTTCCAGGTGCAGTCTCCTTGCAGCCAGGATACAAGCATCATGACTTTAAGGCCAGAAAGGACCATGGTGATCATCTACTCTGACCTCCTGCCCACCCCAGGCCCCGGGACCTCCTACATGTCAGACCCGGGGTTGAGTCAGCAGTGCCGGCAGAAAAGAGCAAGCATCTTTTCTCTTGTCAGTCGAGGAAATAGGACAGGGAAGAAACGGATCCATGTGTCTCAGTGGCAAGCCGCTTTTCTAGGGCCTGGCCCAGAATTCGACCAAACTCTTATCTTTTTGCCAAGTCATTGATTTCAGAACTTGGATATGAAATTCTGCTATTCTGACCGCTGCCTGGGAAAAGTTCTTAAGAACCATCATTACTGCCTAAGGTTCGGTCAACTCCCAGACAGGGTGAACTTCAAACCGAACTGCAAGGCTGGGACTCCTTTAAGAACGATTGGCCCTCCCCCCAGAAAAGCTGTCAGATTTTGCAGTGTATGGGCACTCCAGGGAGACAGAGGAATTTCATTCCATTAATCTATTGATTTCCATTTCTTTTCAGGCCTCCCTATTTGACAAGCAAATTAAAAGTGTAAAGATCAGTATGGCGCTTCCTTCTCTCTTGGGCTCCATCTTCCAAGTTTTAATATTGTCCCAAGCTTAGCAGCTTGTGAGATTTCAGAGAACTTAGTCAATTTGGCTTCCGTGATTACTGCACCAAAGTAGAAATTTCAGCATCTCTGGGGAACAAACTCTTGCCAGAGGATTGGAGATGTTTTATTCTTCATTACGGTGTGTTATCCACCCTGCTTCAGTTAGGGGTTTGTCAGCATTTGTGACAAACCTCTGTTTTCAAGAGCTGATAAGCTGTCCTGTAAGATTTCTCTGGTGATTGGAACTTGGTACAAAAACGTTCTGCTTGGGAGTTGTGAGGGGGTTGTCGGGGTCCGGCTTGGAGCTGTGGGATATTGTCAGGCCTGCTGTCAGGCGGGGGGTTGCACACAAAGGGGGCAGTTGCCCCAGGACTTGGTGATTCAAAGGAGCCAGAGGCTCCTGTCTGCCATGCGGGGGAGGGAGGAGGGCTGTCTGCCCCTGGCCCTGCTCCTTCTGCCTGATGACATGCCCCTTCCCGAAGTGCTGAGCACCCCTCTCCCCGCACACACACCTTGCACAGGGGCTCGCAGAGGCTGTCAGCTCCCCTGGGCGCTGTGCCCCTTAACTCTCAACCCTGGAGTGTGTGTCAGTGACAAGTAGCCAGTCCCTACCAGTGCTTTGCTATCAGCATGTGGAGACTCACACCCAGCTAAATGACATGAATGTGATCTAAGCCACTCATGACTCATACACAGAGGGGCACCACCCAGTCACCCCCGCCCCTAGTCTTACACCCCAGAAATATACCATCTTGCACTATTCAAGACTTCCTTGGATGATGTCAACTCATCATTAGTTCACTCCTAAAAAGGGTAGTACGAGTGCAACAGCCATCGTTAACCTTCACTGAGATTCCATTACCTGAGCACTTCAGCCAAAGCCCACACTGTTTTCCATATAATATAAAAGATTCCTTAATGGCAGAACACTAAAGTGATTATAAGTAGCAGGCATGGAGATCAAAGTTGGTTACCTATGACATAGAAATAAAAGTGCAGTCTACATTTTACAAACGAAGCGAGATTTGAATCAAGCAGTTTCTCCCCACTAGCTGCTCTAGGTGGTGTACAGCTGGTAATACACAGTCTGGATTCCCTCCCCAGCCTGGGACCAGACTCTCCAGTTCAGCATCTTTGTCTTCCAGACAATCTTCCAGGTGTTAGACGGGGGAGGAGAGAGGCCAAGTGCTGAGGTCAGGTCCCTGCTTTTGTACTTCCTTCCAGCTGCTAGAAAGATCCTTTCAGTGATACGGAGGTTAGACATTCAATCAACCGTGTATTAGCCAAGTGTCAAAACAGAGAGAGTAAAATTTATTGCTGCTGCGTATACTCCTGTGTGTAAAGAAATGCCCCTGCAATTAAACAGAGAGGTTTTGCCCCTGTTTTAAATTGTACAGGCCATTTGTCCTGGCTGAGATTTTCAAAAGTGCCCAGCATTGGCCTAGCTCTGCTCCCACTGGAGTCAGTAGGAAAACTCTCATTGAAGTCAATGGATCAAAGTGTCTCTGCTGGGCACGTTTGAAAATTCCACCCTGTGGCTAGGGTCTTGGCCAGAAGAAATGGAGAGAAATAAATAAGTCATTTTGCATAGAAGTGCAAAGTACCACGTGTGCATTTATTATAGGGTGCTGAGCTAGTGCAAATCTGTGTCCCCACTGACTGTAGCTGGTCCCAAGCAGAGATAGAGGGAGCTGGGTCGGTTGCTACACTGTTAATAGTTCTCTGCATCTGGCTTTCCTTGGTCAGGCGAAGGTGAGGCTTTTCCATGTTTCAGTAATTACTGTGCCCATCATCATGCATGCGGGGGTTTGTCCGCGCGGAGGGAAGAAGTACTCTTGTTGCGCTGGGGTCGGAGCTCTGCTGTCTGCTCTGCGGTTTTAGCGTGCTGTCTTCTGCCCCCAGAGGGTTCCTGACGTCCTGCGAGGCAGAGCTGCAGGAGCTGATGAAGCAGATTGATATCATGGTGTCTCACAAGAGATCTGAATGGGAAGGGCAGACTCAGGCTCTGGAGACCTGCTTGGAGAGCAGAGAGCGGGAGCTTTCCTCTGTCACGGCCCAGCTGGATGAGAAGCACAAGGAGGTACGGCTTGCTCTAGTTAAGAGTCAGTGATATTCCTGTGCACACTCTTCTTCAGTATGAACCTCCCCGCTGGCTCCGTGTATTCTGTAGTGTTCATGTCTGGCCACACACGTGTCCACGTCAGTCACTGTGTTGTCAGAAGCATCCTGGTTCTTGGTGGTGGTGTATTGCTTGATGCTCAGAGAAAACGCCAATGAGAAAACGTAAATGTACCACGTCAGGTCTGCTAACCCTGGCTCGGGGAGCCGAACCTGCGTCGCCACTGCTGACTCAAAGGGCCGAGTGTCCGACTCCCAGTGGAAATGATAGTGCAGTGTCTCCGGGGATCTGTTTGAGGCGTTGGTGGGGCGGGGTTCCAAAGCCCTGTGCAACAGATTCCTGCCTCGGGACGGCTAGAGCAAGTAGAAAAGCGGCTGTGGCTTGTGTTTATCTGGTGTTTTCAAGGACCAGTGTCGCACCGTGGCTGCCCTTTGCTGTACAGTAGCGCCTCGCTTAACATTGTGGCTGAGTTCTTGAAAAGTGCAAAACCGATGTTACGCGAATCCAATTAATGTAAATGGGGAGGAAGGGGCAGGCTTCAGGGAAATCCTTTTGGCCCTACAAATGATGGTATATTCACCAACAGTTTGTTTTAAACATTTTCTAATAAAAAGATTGTCCGGGGGCCTTCTCATGAGCTCCCTGTGCATCTCCTAAAGCAGCCATGCTGCTATCGGGCGGGATACTTCCCAGGGAATGCCTTGCTGCTAACTGATGAACCAGCACTCGGCTGAGCCCTCAGAGGCGAATGTGGTGCTGGTAACATAGCCTGCTCTCCAAGGCAGCTCGAGGGAGGAGACGCAATAGACAGGGCAGGGCCTGCAAACGCTTCCCTGTGGAAGCTGTAGGTAATAACCCCACTGATCCGGTTGGAGCACACCTCCCTCCTCCGCATGGCACATGCATGGCTGCACAGGGGCCGACTTTGCATAGTGCAGGGGGTGCTCCACCCTGGCTCTGCCCCCAATACCTCCTCCCCTCCGGTCCTGACTGCCACCGAACAGCTGATTGCTGCCCTGGGAGGCACAGGGAGAGAGAGACTGCATGCTTCTTGCCTGCAGCAATCAGCTGTTATTTGGCATTCAGGAGGCATGTGGGGAGGGAGGGGGCTGCGTGCTGTGTCCTCACTCTTCCCCACTCCCCCCAGTGCCTCCTGCATGCCGACAAACAGCTGGTTGCTGTGGGTAGGAGGTGCGGGGAAAGAGGCGGGACCTGTACTTACCTGTGGGGCTTGCTGGCGGGTGATAAATGGTGAGTGGCGCTGCAGTGGGCGGGGGGACTAATATGGGGAGCTGCTGGCCCACCCTAGTTCCAAGCCCTCGCTTACTAGCAGGTGGCAAACAATGTTATGAGCAAGCACTGTGCCACTTTAAATGCACACGTTCTCTGACCGATCGGGGTGAAAGGACGACACAGTGTCAACCAGGACAGCGTTAAGTGAGGAGCTGCCTCCCGTAATGCAGTCCTTTGCACGCTGCCTTCTCCGCACTCTGCCCTCCCCCTGAATAGCAGGTTAGCTGCTCTGCAGGGATGTGGGGAAGGCCCAAGTTTATCACCTTGAGGTTAGAATTTGCACCTTCATCACAAAACGGGTTGATGACTGAGTCTATAAATTGTTTTGGGTGCCTTTGTCACCCTGGAACTGCAGGTCTTTCTACGGGCCCTAAACTTCATGTACGTATGTACATGACTACTAGTAGGGCTGGTGTGCAATGTAGGTTAACGAGACCACGGACAGGAGATGAGAGATGCAGGCACCTTATATTGGTGATGTGCCGGGGATTTATTTATAATACTCTACCCTCTTCTGCAGATATTGGTTATGATTGGCAGGGTAAGTATTTGGATTAGCATGTCCAGAAAGCATTTATTTGGTATTAGGCCACCAGTATTCCCATTTCTTTTTTGGGTTATGATCCCGTTTTTACTAGTTAGATTTCATTTAAAACTTTTGAGGGATTCCCTGTCACCAGAGACACACTCTGATTAAACTGTGTTTCTGCCCCCAGGATTACAGTTCAGACATCCCTGGATAGTTTTTACATCACCTGTTCCCTTTCTATACATGTATTATGTTAGATGTATAAAAATGTTTATTTTACATTACCCAAATATTTGTTTTGCTGCTTCGCAGACATACAGTTAGACAGGTCTTTGCTCCAGAAGGGGAAAGGATCTGAGGGTATGTCTACACCACCACCCTAGTTCGAACTAGGGTGGTTAATGTAGTCAATCGAAGTTGCAAATGAAGCCCGGGATTTGAATTTCCCGGGCTTCATTTGCATCTTGCCGGATGCCGCCATTTTTAAATCCCCGGTAGTTCGGACTCCGTGCCCACGGCTACACGCGGCACGGAGTAGGTAGTTCGAATTAGGCTTTCTAATGAGGAGTAAAGGTAGTTTGAATTAGACAGCCTAATTCGAACTACCTATTCCGTGCCGCCTGTAGCCGTGGGCACGGAGTCCGAACTACCGGGGATTTAAAAATGGCGGCATCCGGCAAGATGCAAATGAAGCCCGGGATATTTAAATCCCGGGCTTCATTTGCAACTTCAGTTGACTACATTAACCACCCTAGTTCGAACTAGGGTGGTAGTTTAGACATACCCTGAGAAAAAAGGAAAACGAGTTTAAAGGCTTTTATATTGCGTAATGTAAGAATAAAAAGGAAAATGAGTTTAAAGGCTTTTATATTGCGTAATGTAAGAATAGTCTCCTATTTTGAAACCCCATTTTCTTTGATACCCTCCCACCCTGGCATCTAGAATTTGGAGAATTTCTTCTCACTCCCTACTGACGAATCAGCAGGTGCCTGTCTTTGTTGCTGACAGATAAGCTGAAATGTTAACCCACGTTTCTGCTCCTGCCTCAAAAAGTCACCTTTTTGCATAAACCGGGTTCAGCAATTTTCAGTCCCAAAGATGCAAATGTCAGAAAACTGGCTAAAAACCGGGGACTGAAATGAAGCAGTTCTGCAGATGTAGGCCTTGATCTTGCAAAGAGTTAAGCACACAACTCGTGCCTGGTGACTAACCCCATTGAAACCAGTAGAACACTAACACCTCTTGGACCAGGATCTTCGCTGTAACAATTGCTACCACTTATACTGTCCTGTGCATTTATATAGATAATGGAAACCTTACATTGAAACTGAGAGATCCTTCAATTTCCACATTTACTGATGTGGCTCTGCTGGAGCCCGCTGCTTCTGTGCTGAGAGTCACTGTGCTTTAACTCTTCCTTTAGGTCGGTCGGCTGCGCCAGCAGCTACAGCACATGGAGCAAGTGCAGCAAGGCATGGCTGTAGAGTATGAACAGCAGCTGAAGAAGTTTCAAGAAGAGGTGGGTTTGGTGCTGAAACAGTTCTGTTTGGAAGTGTCCGAATAGCACCCTTCCGGTGGCTTTTCAGAGGCGAGTGGGAAGTCGGTTGTTCTCACTCCTTTTACCAAGGGTGGGTGTCCACATTCTAGAGACCAGACGCCCGGCTGATATTCTTGTTGCTAGCCCAGGGGACTTTCTAGCTGTTAAACCAGCATACAGGCAGGGCTGAAGCTTGGCAGAGTGCGGGGCAGGAGCAGGTGTGGTCTTGTACTGGTTCTGCCTGTGTTCTTGTTCTTGGAAGGTGGCTTCATTCTCCTAGGCATGCTCATTTCCCTACCTTTACTTAACAAAGACTTTTAAAAGAGGACGTCCTGCCCACTGTACAGCAAACAGATGCTGGGATTTCTGCAGGTGGGCTGACAGCATTTCATGCAAATGCCTTAGTGATTACATCTGTTTCCACTTGCTTGTCAGTAATGTGGAGTTAAATGCCAGGAGAGGGTAGCAGTGCATTGACCTCTTATCTCTGGAGGACTGAGCTCAATTCCTGCTCACCAGAGTTCATAAATATAATTAATTTGGTAGTCTCAGTTTAGTGTGCGGAAGACATCTATCCTCATCTAAAACCCCTTACATCTCAGCATGATGAACTGTCTTTGTTCCGGAGGTGTCCCCACCGGGATCGGAGAGATGCTGGCAGGCCAGCCTGAAGTGCATTAGCAGATCTGTCTGAAGGCTCAGAATTGGACTCCCATCCACGCCATGGATCGAGTCTGAGATGCATTACTATTGAAATCCAAAAGGGCCGATGCGGTGGGGGTTGGAACAGGAGATTGAGGGGCCCTGGGGTCTAATCCCTGGACTGCTTGCTGTGTCCAGAGGAAACCCTCCCAACCTCCCCCTGCCCCATGTGAGAGTTGGATCCTTGAGAGCCTGTAAATCACAGGGACGTTTCAAGGCAAAATCAATATTTGCGAAGTTCTCTGGCTCCCACTCAGCAAAGCATGTAAGTATGAGCTTAATGTGAAATGTGCATGGAAGGGCATCCCTGCTCAGCAAAGCGTATGGTTGAGCACTTTGCTGATGCAGGAGCACCCCTCTGAAAGGAAGCCTGATTTGGGGGGTCACGCGCCAGCCTGGGAATCCTGACATTTACGTTCCCTTCCTGGCTCTGCTCATATGCTTCTGTTCCAACCAGAGGCAAGTCCTGGTCCCAGACTGCATTTTATCCATCTGGGGAATGGAGAAAATGGTTCCCCAGCTCCGAGGGTGCCGGGAGTTTTATTTCATCAGTGATTGTAAAGAAATGACACTGCCAGGTGGCAAATGCTGTTTAAGTTCAAAAGATTGGAGCCAAGGGGCTGTTTGGATGCAACGTGTTTATTAGTCAAGTTTTACAATGAAAGGAGCCGTAGACATGTAGGTGACAGACTTTCTCATCTTTCTCCCATCAGCGGGGAAGTTAAGTAACCAATATGATGCAACGAGTGGCTTTCCTATCGCCCTGGCTGGGATTTCATGACCCTCTTTCTCCCATATCCTTGATGAGTGGAAGCCCTTGAGTTCCGGGTCAGGCCTCACAGCGTTCTGTTTCCCTTTGGGTGCTGCCACTCCATGTTTGTATAATCGATATCTGCTCCGCCTGGTGCTCCCCCTCCCGCCAGAGCTGGCTGGCCCACACACAGAAATCTGAGCATGCGACAGCCTTGGCTGACAGCCGCGGGTTGAGTATTGCAGCCTAAGTCCATAGGATCCAGGTTCAGCCCCTGCTTCCCATGATGCACCTGGGGCACACCACCCTGCCAGTCCCACATAATGTGATATTTTCTGGTGATTTATGTTTGTTATACAGCTAGAAATCCAGCCGGGTTTGGGGGAGTCTCTGTAAGCTGACTTGATGTCCCTTCCTTCAGAATGTGTCATTAATGTAATGCGCTGGGACCTCAAATTGTCAAAATTGCACTGCCTTCCTTGCAGCTAGGCAAGCTGAAAAGAAGCTATGAGAAGCTGCAGAAGAAGCAGCTGAAAGAAGCTAGAGAGGGTGCCAAGAGCCACGGTGACGACCGCTCGGAAGTGAGCAGACTGACGAAGAAGATAGAGGTGTGTGGACAAAGCAGCATGGCCAGGGTTCATACAAACCGAACTGTTTCAGACTGACTAGCATCGTGAGTGTTTACTAAGCAAGTGGACTGTGAGTGCCAGTACTCAGTCCTCTGTCCTGCAGTCACTGTCCTGGTGCTCTTGCGGGGCAAACGCCCTTTCTGCATTGCTTTTGTCTACGATGCTCCCTGAATTGATTGGGACCTGACCCAGGCTCATGAACATGGTGTCCACCAAGATTTTATAAAAGATGGGGACAGGCGATCCCTGGGGGTGGGGGTGGGGGGTGGAGAGTAGGGGCGAACGGTTTGGAAATGTAAAAAGAAACATCTGATTATTGGCGCACATGTTTGTATCGCGCCTTAAGTACATGGTCCTGCTGTGATGGGGCCTCTAGGCGCTATTGTAATACAGCTAATATTGCTGGAACATGGGTTAGATTACATGGGGGGGGGCTTTAAGGACAAGGCAGTAGGTAAAGGTAGAACACTCGAGTGCGGTGGTGTCGCTGCCGCCAGTTGGCAGGGAATTCTCAGTGGGAATGTTACACTCTTGGCCAAGTCCAGCTTGTCTTGAACCTTATTGCTAGGATGAGACGAGCTGCGTTCTCTCATCTTCGATCACACCACTCACAAGTTGGTGACCAATCTCCCCATCTCCTCTCTGGGTTCAGAATTCTGGTACCTCAGACCTGCAAGCTTGGGGAGGTCACTGGCAGCCTTTTCTTGTAAAGTTGCAGGGAAGAGGAATTGTTGCTGCTCCTACAGCCGATCTGGCCAGCAGGTCCTGAATCGGCTCTCAGCATCTGCCGTGGCAGGAATTGACCCTGCGGTTTTACCTGGAGGGAGCAATGCAGCAGCATAGCGGGAGGGGCTGTGTCCTGCTGAGAGAGTGCATTCCGCCCGTGGCTGGTTAGCGCTGCCCTGCTGCGGTGGAAGGCCCAGGAGGGTCTGGTGGGGGAATGGTAGTGAGAGCTGGGAGGGAATGATTGTCATGCCGAGTGGTGGTACACTCCAGGCCAGCCCACCTGTCTTTGCAGGAGTTCCGCCAGAAATCTCTCGACTGGGAGAAGCAGCGCCTGCTTTACCAGCAGCAGGTGGCCTCGCTGGAGGCGCAGAGGAAGGCTTTGGCCGAGCAGTCCGAGCTCACTCAGGTACAGTCGGCGCGGGCTGAGTGTTGTTGGCTTGCAGTGCCGAGCTGCTAAAGCCATTCGGATCACCTCTGAAATGGCTTCGTCGGTCCTGACGGAATGAACCTGTCTACACCACGTGCAGCGGAAGATGTGGAGGCTGGCTACGTCTCCCCCATGGTTCCTGTACACTCCGGCCCATGGGGAAGAGGGTAAAAAGTTGGTTTCTGGGGGCAGGAAGAATCACAGGGGGTGTTACAGGGCATGGCACTTCAATAACTTTAGTGACCTGTCATGTTCAAAGGCCTAGTACTGCCAAGTCTCAGCTGCGTAGCTGCTGCTATACAAGAGCCGCTCTTTGAAAATAGCCTCCTCGTACAAAAGGCACTTGCCACATGATGGCGAGTTTCCAGCTCTGGTTTTGAGGCTCTTTAGAGGAAGAGAATGGTGCTGGTGTCCCTGACGAGTTAATCCAGTCCCGGAGCTCGTGCTGCTGCAGCGCTCTGGTGAGCTGGCCCTCGCCCCGCTGTGAAGACGCTCACACTGACAGAGTCAGAGCTGGTGAGCAGCTCTCGCTGGGAGCTCTGCACTTCACGCCCCGAATCGCTGCTGAGTGGAAGCTCTTGCAAGGAGGAATTTTGCCCTTTGCGTTGACAGGATTGGAGCTGGTCCAGATGGCACTTTGCGGGGGGGCGGGGGGCGAGGCGCACCACAGATGCAGAAGGGCTCATGGCTGCTGGTTTGTCCTTGCAGCGTCGGCCAGTGTGTTAGAGCACAGGGCAGCAGCCAGACGAGATGTTTCGGTGGAGCTTTCCAAAGCAGTCTCGGGGAGTTAGGTGCAGCATTAACGGGGATGGAAGACAGGTGCCTACATTTTCACCGCTGCTTTGGAAATCTGTCCCCGAGAAAATTAACCCTGTTGCAAGCACATCCTCCTGCGCTTTGTGTTTGTTTCTCTGGCACGGGGAGGGTGAGATCGTCAGGACCCGTGCACACCTGTGCCCCACCTCACCCATCAGTCAGGAGCCATTCTTCCAGCTAAGGGCTAGTGTGTAGCTTACTCTTGAGTAGCCCTTGGCTCTCTTGCCCAGGGACCCGTGCCTTTCTCCACCCCTGCCAGCCTAGAAAACTGAAGGCCAACATCTGAAACTGGGTCTCCGGTGAGGAATCACGGGACATTGTGGAGAGAACTTTTCTTTCTGTGTCTTAACTTTTGCTGCCAGGCGTTCCCTTGTTGCAGAATTCATCCATGCATTTAGCCAGTCTGGTGTGTTGGCTTCTTGGGCCACCGTGGGCAGCCACAGGTTTTTGCTTTTGCAGCCATTGCTGCCTGGGATCCAGGTTTGTGTATTGATTGCCAGAGTAATACAACACTGCACATACCGGGCACTACATAAAACCGGTGCTCAGAAAGTCACTATGTCTAGAGGCATCCGACGGGGCTTATGTGCAGACTGACGTAATTTAACAAACAACAGGGAAGGCATTGTTTGCCTGTGATATGTTTCATATAACTGTTTGCTTCCTTTCTCTGCATTTAAAACAATAAAACCTTCCCACCTCGAGAGAGTTCACCGCATGAAAGGGAACATGACTGGCTGTTGCCGTCACTCCGGTTTCTAATATCTATTTGATTCTTTTTCCGTCTGTCAGGTGTTGTTCCCTGTCTCCATATGGGATTAACAGATTTGCCTGGCTTTCTAGCTAATATATGGTGTTTCCATTTTGTCCTCTGGATAGCTCTAACACCTGGTTGGTGTATGTGTTTGCGGGCGGTGGGGAGGGGGAATGAGGCCGCTTTGCTGTTTGTTTGGATTCGTTGGGCATTGTGGAGCATCTGCTTTCGAGAGTCTGTCATTCGGTGCCCTTGGAACTTCTTTTGGCATCATAAGGATCCCATCAGTTGCTCTCCTCTCCCCTCCCCTGCTCCCCCCAAACAAGGCTGCAGCTATGTCCGAGTCCTGAGACAGGGCCTCGTGTTGCTCCCTGCGGAACCAGGCTGCTTTCAGGGAAAATGGCATGGTGCATTGCGAAGGATCAGTGCGGCACCTTCATGAGGCTCTGACTCTGTTTCCCCTCTTTTCACACGTAACTTACCTTTAACACAGCAACAACCTCTGTCAGCAGACTCAGCTCGCCAGTCGGAAGCAGGTGCTGGAATCCATGCAACTGGCCAGCCAATCGGAAATCCAGCATTTAACCAGCAAGCTGGAGCGAGCCAATGATACCATCTGTGCCAGTGAGCTGGAGGCGGAGAGGCTGAACATGAGAGTGGATGACTTGGCTGGAGCCAATCGGAAGATTCTGGAGGATTTCCAAAGAGTCCAAGAGGAGCTGGGGCACTGTAAGAAAACGTTGCAGGTCAGTGACAGACCCTCTAGGAACTAGAGAAGGCTCCTGAGAGAGGCAGTGAGGGCTGTCGCTGTGTGGGGCTTGGAGCAGTTCAGTGCATTCCCCCACCGCCCGGAGGTGAGAGTCTCACCTGAGCGATACCGGCACCCCGCAGGGTCCCCTCCCCTTCTGTCCATGCTGTCGTGCAGCGCCAGGCTGGCCTTGTGGCATTGGGATCCCATTTCCCATCCAGCACTGAGGGCTGCTCTTGGCCTCTGAAAACGCAGTTCATTTTCACACCAGCTCTCGTTAGCGCACCCTGCCCATCCCTTGTGGGCTAGAGAGGTTAAGAGAGATAAGAAAGCCCATGCTTGCTTCGGAGTAACACATCTTTCTGTCCACTGGATCAAACAATTTTCGAATTGGCTGTCAGTGCCTGTCGCAGCTTCCTGGCTGGCTCGCCAGTACTGTCACCTGGGATAGAGGGTGAACGTAGCATCTCTGATCAGATTGGCAAGCCGTACCCTCCTAAATTCCACTCCAGCTCCTTCCCAGGCTGCGCCAT